CATCTGCAAGCCCATCTTTTCACTATAAATAGGGAAGCATTTCATCAGTTGCATATACACCAAAAATCTCAGACAATACATCTGAGTGAGAGAGAGAGCAAGGTATTCCATAGACTATAAGAAAATAGTCTCTGAAGAAAAATAGAATGTGAGAGAAATTATAGTGAGGTGAAAAAAAAAGAAGCAAAAAAGTGTTTTTTTGCTTTTGAGGGTGTAGTGGTCTTAGGAGTATTTGTACTCGTTACTACACAGTGTAAAATTCCTTGCTATAGTGATATCAGTTGCTCTTCTTGGCTGTGGTTTTTCCCTTATTCAGAAGGGTTTCCACGTAAAATCTTGGTGTCACTATTGCTGCACTTTTATTCTTGCTGATTTACCCATCACTTATTGTTCCGCTTTTATCACTAATACCGTGTTTCCCAACAAAGAGAAAGCCCTTTAAAGATCATCTGGAAACACGTATCTTTATTATACGTCTGGTCAAAAATGAAATATTAGTAGAATGTAGCGGCAGCCTCCCGTTCGATGATTATATTGCATTCGATGAATATATTGCCTTCCTGGCCTTCTCCCAATATAATACGTGAAACAAGAGGCTTGTCATCTGTCCAAGCCTTGGTGGATGAGTTGTCCGGTACTTTTACTGGTGGAAAATGATAAGTATTATGCGAAACTAGTGAAGGCGTACGCAAATTGATCTGGATATCACAATGATTATTTAAAAATACCAAGAGACTTATGTCATATCTTAGAGCGTAAACGTAACAGGCCAAAGGGATTGTAAAAGTGCCCTCCCAATGGTAGAGGATTCAACTTTCAACTATGCGCTTCAAACGATATATTGCACGATATTAAAGCAAGCCAACAACTCAAGAATCTCAGCTAGACAAGTCTTATTCCTTTATTTTTCCCTTAAACCATCACTAAAACTGCCTGATGCAACAATCCAGAACCCATTTGACCTTTCGGGGTATAAATTAATCTAAGTATAAAATCACAGAAAATAAGCCCAATTAGAATCCTAAATATTTCTGAATGTGATAAAACTGCTTTATTAATGGCAACCACAATCAAGCAAATAACGGACTTAGGAAGGACGTCAAGAGATGACAGCTTACCAAGAAAAAGGAGTTGGAACTATATCTTATCCATAGTCACAAGGAAACAGGGAAGACCAGAAACTACAAAGTTCCATTGAGAGAGGGAGAGACAAATATTGAACAAAAGAGACTATTCAAAAGTTCTACATCCAAGCGTAATTTCAGCATTGGAGTCAAGCAAAATATAACAGAACTGAGGTAACTTTCCAGTAGAATTTAGTGCAAATTTCCAAAATGCTTCCCCCACAGTGACAAACAGTTTTTGCGACCTCCAATTACAAGAGTACAAGCCCAAGCTCTGACGCTCTCAAAACATGCTTTAGTCGATAGTTGTAGAGATAATAGTGGAGTTTCCCATCACCAGGGCCAAACTTCAGGTCCTTCAAAAAACTATCGTTCTGCATAACATCTAGGGCGTTGAAAACATCGAAATCCTTCTGCTTTGCCACAATAAGGGCATCATTCATCAACTGAATCAACGGAGTCTTTGTAGAGACATTGTAATATGAGTAAGCAGCCTTTAGAGTTGAATGATTCTGGTTACCAAGAATTGACGAAGGAAGAGTGTAAAAACTGCAGAAGTCGGTGATTTCATGAGTCTCGGGGCTTTCAACCAGATAACTGTCAATCACACCCTCCTTTGGCAGAAGCCAGTGTTCCACATCATTTTCATCAAAGTCAGGTGCAACCACAAACTGCTTCAAGTAATTCCTAAGCAATCGAGTAACTGCAGGAACATCATGGGGCTCCATCTTTCTGAACCCAGGTGTGACAGTCTGATCAGGTAACTTGTACAACTTTATTGTACGGCTCATTGTCATCCTTGCACCAAGCCTGGAAAACCCGACGTCAATTAGCTTCTTTGGATTCAAAGATCTATGCCAATATTGACAGGTTGATATAGGTGTTGGAAGTACCACCCCAGCTGTATAAGCAGCTTGCCAAATATTCTCCATATGAACCCTCCTTGTGACCTCCTTTATCATGACAGGAGCAAGTCTTTTTGATCTAAGCTTCTTATGAACACACAGAAAATTGATTTCTGCCATGGTCACAACTGTATCTCGAGCACGTATTCTTGCAGGTACCCCTGTAATAAAAGCAACCAACTTTTTTGAGGTCTTCACTCTGACTCCAATGTGCCAGCTCCTGTAGAAACCTGGAGGGCGAAGTGCCCATCGAAGAAATTCTTTCGAGTAATTGAACCTAAACATGTTCTCATCATCCTCAACGTAGTTGTTCGTTAGGAGAACATAGACCTCATTGCACATCTCCTCCGAGTCCATATCACAGGTGGTCCACTCATATGGACTTGGAAGGTTGTACGGTTCCTGCTTAACTTCTGATAAGGGAGTTGGAGGTTCAATAGGTCCTTCAGGCAAGCTTGCATCCCCAAGATCCTTAAACTGACCCACAGGTTGAGTCTCCCAAAACTTATGTCTCTTTGCGAGGGACAGAGATTCTTGGACCTGTCGAGCCAAGGAATCAATGGATACCTCATTGCCATTCGCTGGAGCTAAAGTATTATCAGAACTGGAGTTATGGTCCTCAGTTGCCTTAGTGTCGTCAGCCATTTCACCAGCTTCAGTATATTATTCTCTGCCATAACATCATAAATTAATAAGCCAGAGCAAAGGACTACATAAATAAGCAACAAACATACAGTATAGTGGTAGAGAGATCTTGAACATATAACTAAGCTTCAGGGGGATAAAATGGGTTGTGGCAGGTACTTTGACGGTAGTAGCTAACAGCTTTTATTTAGTGAAGACAAAGAAGGAACTCAAGATAGTTTTCATCAAAAGAAGGAACTCAAGATAGTTTGGATCAACGTACCCTGCTGCTATAATCTGGTCTATTCTGGAAAGAAAGGAATTGCAGGTTTGTTTGAAAGCAGTATCACCTCAGTGAGAGCCAAACGTTTAAATCATTTAGGTTTTTGGCGTAAAGTAGATTTAATAAATAACATAGAGGTTCTTCCCGAATTGTATCAGCTCCCTTAGTTTTTGAATATATGAATAGAATTGTAACACAGATTGTTTTTGCTGTACATAGTGCAACTGCTTCACGCCAAATGAGCAAAATTTATTTTCCTTAATACAAAATTTACTTGATTCCAAATGAGCAAAATTTAGTGCAGCTCAAGTAGGTAGCACACTAGCAGCCCTCAAGCATCTTATATTTGATGTAAAATGTTTAGAGCACATTGTCATTTATAAGAAAGACCTCCAATTAGATATACATATTATCTATCGTAATGTTCGCATATACATGGTATCCATCAGAATATCAAACTGATATGTGTATGTGTGTGTGTGTGTGTGTATGTATAACAACACGTGCAATATATCAGACCAAAATTGCTGCCTCCAAGGAATCATAGAGTAGAATAAGCTGCATTATAATTATTGACACACATGGTCAGCTGGTTTACCAGCTGAATTACTACGTTCCAAATCAAGCAACAATTTTTCACTATTGGATCACTTCATATTCACGATAACTGCCACTTGATTCCAAATTGAGCATACTGTGAGAATATATAAGAATACCATATCAAAGCACACGTAGATTTCCATAATATCTAAATCAAAATCAGCTAAATTTTCCCAAAATAAGAAAGAATATAAAGCATGATAGAATTAGGGAATCAAACCTTCGAAAAATTGTGAATTCTGGTCGATGACGGAGATCTAGGGTTTCAGAGCCTTTATTGAGGAACCTGCAGGCGTACCGGAGAAAGCAAAGAATATGAAAAGGTCGAAATTGGAAGCAACGAAGCTATGGACGGAATATGAAATGGTGGAGATTGGAGATGGGCCTTATTTATGGGCTTTGTTCCTCATTCTATTTGGGCTGCATGGGATCTTTACGCAAATAGCCGGTTATATTTATTGTTTACTATTTCCAGCTATATACATACATGGATTATACATTAATTATATATAGTTATACTCATATAATAAATAAATTATGCATATATTATACATCCACATGCTATTTTTGGTTTAAATAGTTAGGTGAGCGGCTATTTAGGTTAATTCTTCTTAATATAATACATTCAATTTTGGGCCGTTTTGTTCGGAAAAGTTAAAAGTTAAAAAACTAGCCGTTTCTCGACCTTGTAATTGAATATAGTCTTTTTTTTTATAACAAGTGAATCTGAGGACTGCAGACACTTCATCTTTAATTTTAATTCAACTAACTTAAATTATAAGATTAAAATAGAAAGGTCGTTGTCTCGTTGAGCTTGCAAATATCAAACTGCCAGACAACATTCGGCCTATAGTACAAGTTGAAGTTATTTCTCTAGCCGATTATCACAAAAGATCTGCACCATTCTCTCATAAAATAAAAATAAAAATAAAAAAAATATGAGAGAATGATTGTATTAGAAAAATAGTTAGTGTTTGAAAATTCTTTGAAAGTAGTCACTTTTAATATGAAAATTCGAACTTAAACCAATAAAAAATATCAGGATATTGTGTTCACCCTTTTAAGTTCGAAATTAATAACACTGTCATGAATTAAAATATATGGCTATTTTTCAAAAACTTTTGAATCTAGCAAAAAAAAAAAAAGACTATATTCAATTACAAGGTCGAGAAACGGTTAGTTTTTTAACTTTTAACTTTTCCGAACAAAACGGCCCAAAATGGGATGTATTATATTAAGAAGAATTAACCTAAATAGTCGCTCACCTAACCATTTAAACTAAAAATAGCACACAGATGAATAATATATGCATAATTTATGTATTATATGGGTATAACTATGTATAACTGGAAATAATAAATAATAAATATAATCGGCTATTTGTGTAAGATCTCATGCAGCCCCAATAGAATGAGGAACAAAGCCCATAAATAAGGCCCATCTCCAATCTCCACCATTTCATATTCCGTCCATAGCTTCTTGCTTCCAATTTCGACCTTTTCAAATTCTTTGCTTTCTCCGGTACGCCTGCAGGTTCCTCAATAAAGGCTCTGAAACCCTAGATCTCCGTCATCGACCAGAATTCACAATTTTTCGAAGGTTTGATTCCCTAATTCTATCATGCTTTATGTTCTTTCTTATTTTGGGAAAATTTAGCTGATTTCGATTTAGATATTATGGAAATCTACGTGTTCTTTGATATGGTATTCTTATATATTCTCACAGTATGCTCAATTTGGAATCAAGTGGTAGTTATCGTGAATATGAAGTGATCCAATAGTGAAAAATTGTTGCTTGATTTGGTTTCTATAAAAAACGTAGTAATTCAGCTGGTAAACCAGCTGACCATGCTTGTCAATACTTGTAATGCAGCTTATTCTACCCTATGAGAAGGGGAGTCTCTGCGTAACTGGTAAAATTGCTGCCAGGAGGTCTCTGGTTCAAGTCGTGGAAACAACCTCTTGCACATATGCAGGGTAAGGCCCTTGTGGTCCGGCCTTCCCCCGAACCCCGCTTGTAGCGAGAGCTTAGTGCACCGAGCTGCCCTTTCTAATTCTACTCTATGATTCCTTGGAGGCAACAATTTTGGTCTAATATATTGCGCATGTTGTTATATATACATACACATATCAGTTTGATATTCTGATGGATACCATGTATATGCGAACATTACGATAGATATATGTATATCTGATTGGAGTTCTTTCTTTATAAAAGATAATGTGCTTTAAACATTTTACATCAAATATAAGATGCTTGAGGGGTGCTAGTGTGCTACCTACTTGAGCTGCACTAAATTTCGCTCATTTGGAATCAAGTAAATTTTGTATTAAGGAAAGTAAGTTTTGCTAATTTGGCGTGAAGCAGTTGCACTATGTACAGCAAAAACAATCTCTGTGTTACAATACTATTCATATATTCAAAAACTAAGGGAGCTGATACAATTCGGGAAGAACCTCTATGTTATTTATTAAATCTACTTTACGCCAAATACCTAAATGATTTAAATGTTTAGCTCTCACCGAGGTGATACTGCCTTCGAACAAACCTGCAATTCCTTTCTTTCCTGAATAGACCAGTTTATAACAGCAGCATACGTTGATCCAAAGTATCTTGAGTTCCTTCTTTGTGTTCACTAAATAAAAGCTGTTAGCTCCTTCCGTCGAAGTACCTGCCACAACCCATTTTATCCCTCTAATGCTTAGTTATATGTTCCAGATCTCTCTACCACTATACTGTATGTTTGTTGCTTATTTATGTAGTCCTTTGCTCTGGGTATTTAATTTATGAAGTTATGGCAGAGAATAATATACTGAAGCTGGTGAAATGGCTGACGACACTAGTACCAACCCATTTTATCCCCCTAATACCAATTTCTCTGCTTGCGCAATTTGATATATGAAAAGTTATTAGTAACTGCTTCCATTGATATTCTAGTGTTTAATAGCTGTGTATTTATGCAATTTCTTTACTTATTTACATTTTATTAACCTTCTAAGTTGCGTTGTTGGGTAATTTTGAGCACAATTTAGCTGATTTAGAAAGATTTTACAAATAAGTGAGATATGAGAACAGATTCTTGTGAAAGGAGATACTGATATAATATTACAACATAATTCAGGCCATGGGCTTGTGGACATTGCTCGAGGGCTGCTTACTTCTTGCAAATGCACTTGCTATATTGAACGAAGATCGTTTCCTTGCTCCAAGAGGATGGAGCTTCCAGGAATATTCAGGGGTCAGAAGAAATTCATTCAAGGGCCAGCTACTTGGTCTTATTTATGCAACTCAATATCTGAGAGTTCTGCTCATACTCCTTAACACACTTTGTATTGTTGTAAAGTTTGTATCTGGATGATGATTCTTGCGCGAGGTATGCTTGTTTAACTTTGTTGCTACGTTTTGAGATTGATGTGTGTATTTGGACCATTATTTCTGAGAGTCAATTCAAGGGCCGGCTACTTGGTGTTATTTAGCACAAAGTAATCTTTTGGTGACCAGTTTTCTGAACTACAGTTTCTTAAAGTAAGCTAAAATGCTTTATGTCATGACATTGGTTGCACTCATAAGGAGATTGAGTTATAATGTTGCTACAGTCAAATAGGATCAACCATGAAGTTTGATGCATTTTGTATTTTTTAATAGCAGCATAAAATTGATCTCTTGATTTGTAGTAAACCATTCTATTTGTTGAAATAACTTTTTTTGTACATACAGACACTGAAGTTCATAGATGGAAGGGTTTAGAAAGCTTCCTTGAGGAAAAGCACCAACTCTAGTCGCATTTTGTTAGATACCCTGATACAAACGGTTCTTCTTCAATTAGTTTAGGAAAGTAAATTATTTCTTGGTCTTTATGGACGGCTGTTGTAAAATAGGTCATCAGTGCCTACCTCTGCATGTTCTTATTCAAGAATCATGTTCTTGGAGTCTAAGCTCTCCGTTTTTGCATTGCTGCATCTTTTGATTACATATAAGATACTCTTCTTAGACTTTGCTAATTGATGTTATTGCTCTGTTTCCAGGAAAATTACCTTTTTCCAAATATGAGTATGGGTGATGAAAACCAATTCTTGTGATAAAAGGGAGTCTTGTAGTTAGGATTGTGATACGATGATCAAGACGCAACTCTTTCAACTTTAGGCTCTCATTGTTATGAAAAACGTGAACCTTGTTATGTTGTTTCACAGGTCAACTAATATCTTCAGTCAAGACCAGCTTCTAAGCTGATTAAAGCTGTGCTAGTGTAGAATATGTGTGTACCCTTTACAAAAAAGAAGAGTAAATATCCTAAAACCCGCCTAAACTATCACTTTTTTGTCAGTTTCCTCCCTAAACTATCGCATATCCCCAAAACCCCTTGAATTGTATCCTCCTTCATATTAAAAACCTCCCGTCGCCTTTTTAGTGGTATGTATAATACAGTCTCGCAAATTTGTAAGAAATGTGCCATGTGGCACTCCACATGGTTATTAATTAGCCTAATCGAAAAATAATTGAATTATGTATTTTAAATATTAACCCCAATTTATTAAATGGGTAAATATTATTCACCAGATTAAAACATATAAGAGGTCTGAGGCAAAAAGCATTCAGTAAAATCCCCTTCTCTCTCTTATCTTTCTATAATGGCTTCTCTTTCTCTCACTAGCGATTTTCTCCATTAAGCTTCGTTGTGACTTTCATTTTCCTCCAATAACCCTCGATATAATTATGTGGGTTATGTCCCCTTGCATTATGAAAACTCCATTGTTCTCATATATCTTGTTCTTCTCCAAATGTATTTCAGAAGCGTGAAGAGAAACTCAATAACAAGAGAGGGAGAATTTCAGATGGAACCGGATGGAGAAATGGAAGAGAAAGGTGGAAAATGAGGAAGGAGGGTGAAATGTAATGAAAATGAGAAAAAAAAGGGGGCTAATTAGCACTTAGACACTGTCATGTGGGCTATTTTGATGGATTTTTCTAGCCTTCATGCGCTCTTTCACGAGTTATTACACACAATACGCCACATAAGTAGCGGATACGAAGGAGGATATAGTTAAGAGGGTTTTTGGGTACAAAGGATAGTTTAGATAGGAACCGGCAAAAAGGTGATAGGTTAGGCGGGTTTTAGAATATTTACTCAAAAAAAAGGCACGGAACTTTGCACTTCAAAGTCAGTGTTGTGTCCTGGGGAAATAGGTCAATGGCCAGAATGCTACAATGCAAACTGTAGTGTTACAAGTTCAAATCATAATGGCCTTTTGGCTACTATTGTTTACTCCGCCCTTCCTTACTCCCCCTATTAACCATGCACAAGGGAAAGAACTCATTTGCTGTAGATACTGATATAAGACATATTACTAGTGCAGAAAATAGTTTTGAATACTGAATACTTGTAGGAGAGTTGCTGAGGTTTCAAACATGACAGGGAATAAGACTTACTCTATCTTGACTATTAATTTTGATCTTTCTAGCATAGTTGTAATAATATGGAGCATTTGCATCGGGCACACAACCTTCAGGCCAGATTTTAGAGTTTTTTTTTTTTTTTCTAATAATAAGTTGCAAAAATGCTGGTTTTATTATATGCGTTGCTGCTCGTGAAAACTCTTCTAGGCATAGAGTTCATCTTTCCAGGAAATTAAAATTCAAGATGGAGCTACGCATCAGCATTTACTGCAATGCCATCTTGCATTTCCGCGCATGCTAAGCAGTTGGTTTCTGGGTTTGGTTGATCATTTGTAACTATACTCTTGATTAGAGTTAATTCTGATATGCTAGAGGTGGCACCACCCGCCACTTGTAGCAGCTTTCCTCATTCAACACTGAGTTTAGAGTTCCTAATTCATATTTCAACCTGTCTGTCTGTAATTTGATGATTTTGCTAAATTAAAGTGCCACAAATTATGCCATCTATAGCTTAACAAAGTTGGTCGCACTCACAATCTTGTGCCGACTGGTAATTCTGTAGAAGTGTCAGAATTTACTGTAAAACAACAAGAGCGACAGAGCGAGGACTCACCTCTTTACCCGTGGATAAATCATTGCCAACTGTCCCTTTTTGCTTAGCTAAGCTTCCAGAGTTGAAATGCAGCCCTGTGTTCCTATTACGTGTAAGATCTGCTGAAGAATAACCATTAGGCCGACCTTCTTCACCACCTGCATAATATGTCTAGCATGTTATTTGTAGATCCCCTGGAAATAGCAAACTAACTAGCAGATTGCATATTAGAATTACTTCCCTGAACAAAAATAACTAACATTATGAACTAACTCGAGGATGGATGATGCACGCGCTGCTTCCATCATCGACCATGATATGTCTTACATCAGTATCAAAAACACGTAAAGTAATGACAAGGGCATCATAGTGAGGGAAAACCAAACCGTGGGTATCCGACTTATCGAAGATGATACTTTCTTCGAGTTAGTCATACCGTTCGTGGGTGATTGCCCGCTTGAGCTTGTGAGTGGTGGTGAACTTCACGCCGTTGACATATGCGTCGTCGCCTCCCCCGATGATCATTTGAATGGCCCGAACTGGGGAAGGTGGTTTGGGCGGCCCCTGATGTTGTTCCCGCCCTCGGCAAAGTTGGCCCGATCGCTCATCAACTCTTTTAGGGACCTTGGTGAAGCATGTTCACGACCTCTTGTCTGAGGGCGATACAGACCTCGATCTTGTGACCTCGTTCCTGGTGCTCGGGTCGGACTTCATTTTCTGTGGCCATTTTACCTTTGGGCCGAGCTTCTCCAACGCGTAGACTATTTCTAAGGGGGAAACACAAAAATTGTGAGCTAATACCAAGGGGGGAATACCTCTTTCGTTTCGGTGGGTTCCCGTTCGTGGTCTAGATGGACCTTCGTCGTGACGTGGAGGTGGCATGAGGGTGCCTCTGATGTAAGGATGATGTCTTTCTCGATTAGGTCGTGACCCTGCTATATCTCTTCTGTTGTCGTTTCTTCGGTCTTTCCTAGACTCTATTTGGACCGAGGTCAGGCTTTGAATACGCCCGTTGAGATCATCCTCGTCGACTCTTGCCTCGGCATAGGAGACATTGTGTATCTCATCCCAAGTGGTTGGAGGGTATTTCATGAGTCGGCTCAGCAATTTTTTGGTCGCCTTCGACCCACTTGTGCTCAGCCCATTCTGAAAACCGGCCACCGCCATCCCTTCAGATACATTCGGAATGGTCATTCTTACACGGTTGAATCGGGCGAGGAAATCCCCGAGTCCCTCACCAAGAGATTGCTTGATGGCAAATATGTCGTTCACCCTTGCCTCCGCTTTCTTGGCCCCGGCATGGGCGGTGACGGACTTGTCAGCTATTTCTTCGAACGTTTCTGTGGAGCGCGCAGGTAACTGCGAGTACTAAGTTAGGGCCCCGCCGGTTAGGGTCTCTCCAAACTTCTTCAGCAATATGGATGATACTTGTTCTTTTGCAAGGTCGTTGCCTTCCACTGCAGTGACATAGTAGGTCACATGATCCTCCGAATTCGTCGTGCCGTCATATATTTTCAAATATGGCGGCATTTTGAAAGTTTGTGGTATAGCGCGGCCTCGTCGCTACATGGTTATTCCACGAACCGACCGGCACCCCGTTTTGGTAGGAGTTTTGGAGCGCCCGGTATCTTATCTACCCTTTCTTGATGCTCCCTCATTTGGTCGCGGAGTGCCTTGTTCTCGTTCTCCATCTCTTATATTTTTTTAAAAATAGCAGTGAGGGCGTCGTTACTTGCATCATTAACAGGGTGAGTAGTACCAGTCATGGGAGGTTGGGTGTGATGCTCATTGGTTGTTGTGGCGATGTCGACTCGCACACTCCTCTGCTCGCCCTCTGAGCGGGTTTGTCTAGTATGCTATTCAGTGTATTCGTTAACCATGCTTCTAGTAGATTTTTTACCGCTGGTGCTTCTTCCATAATGGACGTAGAGGCTCCCTTTCCATGAGAAGCGGTAACGCTGCCATGAGGAGGGGGTGAATCACTTCACCTAGGTGAGGCGCTTGGTGTCACGTTCTCCTCGTCCTCTTCATGAGTTTCGTCGATAGTGTTTAGGAGATTGGCAGTGAGATCGACTATTGCCTTTCTCTTTTCTTCTCCATTGCCTGCCATGTTAGATCTGTGCAAACAATGAGATACAGGACTGTGCAGAGTTTTGCGTGTTTTTTTTAGATCTAGAAAAAACTAAAACTTTTAACTAGAAAATCCCCACAGACGGCGCCAAATTGTTGACCAAAAAGTCTTAAACCTTTTTGTTAAACTAATTAAGTGAATGATGATAGGTAAATTCTAGTTAAATATAATAAGTTCTAGATCCAAGATTGGAGTTTGGGTGAGACTGTTTATCAAGTGCATATACCCGTATATTCAATCATTAAATGCACACTTTAGGGAGTAAATGAAGAATGAATAATGAGCAATAAATATGAGAAATGGCAATAAATGTAAATAGGAAGAACAAGTCACCTAAATATCAAATAATGTGGAAGATTCTTCCTTCTGACAACGAAATGCGGCAGTCACCAAGAATATGAGTAATGCTTCCTTGGATCACTATGGAAAGGTAAACTTTGTATTTTCTCTTAATGGTCAACTTCTTACAATAGTTTTCTCAGATTCAATCTCACGTGCCCCTTTTCTTCTCTCTCTCTCTCTCTCTCTCTCTCTCTCTCTCTCTCTCTCTCTCTCTCTCTCTCTCTCTCTCTCTCTCTCTCTCTCTCTCTTTCTATATATGTGATATTCTCTAAAAACCCTTAAAAGTACAACAAAGGGAATATTCAGGAGAATATTCCTATCACTACTTCCAAGACTATACTAGCTGTTATTCCTATCTTTCGCTCTGTGACTGCTCGTTATTGGGCTTTGGTCGACCTCATCCTATCTGCCTAACTCGGGACACAGTCTTTTCTCTTACGATTTTTTCACGCCCAACTTCCTCAGCAAGATTTTGACCAATACAGGGATAATTTATACCTGCTAAAGGGTGGAATAATAATCCCGGGGTAAGTTATCCCAGGATAA